ATAAAATGTTGAGAATAAACTCATTAAATTATTAGAAAAAAGTCGTTAAATTGCGAGAAAAAAAGTCTAGATAAAATGTTGAGAATAAACTCATTAAATTGCGAGAAAAAAGTCGTTACATTTCAAGAAAAAAGTTGAGAATAAATACACTCGTGTCATGTTCATTTCATCTCGTTGGACATCATCATTCAGTGTCTGCAGTGGGGGGGTTGGAGAGTAATGCACTGAGGAGTAATGACCGATACGATCGACTGGGTTCGAGTTCGTCTTTTGCCAAACTCGCTTTTCTTCCTTTTCTCATCACATATCACATCAGAAAAGTGGAAATCAATTGCTTAATGAGTGTTTAATAATAATGTATTAATTAGGTGTAGGCAGGCTATAGGGAGGGCTTTGTTGTCCCAATAGGCAGCATATATTTAATAATTTCAATAAATAAAATCATTGTTATTAAAATCAATGTTATTATTGCATCCTGTTAGCGTACAACAGTACTGAGGAGCAAATAGTATCAGCCACTATTTATAAGCATAAATAGCATCTAATTAGCTACTATTTACACTTATTGCAAAGATCTGCTACTTTTACATAACGTAAATAGAATGGCTATTTTCACTAAGTGTAAACAGCACATATCTAATGTGGTGCTGTTGTCACTTAGTGTAAATAGTACATATAACTATTTTCACTGTAAATAGCATCTGGCAGGGGTGTCCAAAGTCCGGCCGCGGGCCAAATACGGCCCGTGGATGAATTTCAAACGGCCGCAGCTTGTCTATTTAAATATAGGCTATTATATGTGGCCCGCCAAACATAATTTACAAATCATGCAGTTTCACAATGTCAACACAAGGTGACAGCACTGAATTTTAGGCCAGATGTATCAGTAAAACGTGAGTGACAACAATTTGATAACTCATATGCGCTGTCATTTCTTTAGCGCACCGAAAGCGGAAGAGCGCTACATACTATTGGAAGCGCGCTGCACGGATCATTATTAGCTCTGCCTAAAGACAGCGCAGCGCGAGCTCAGAACAAATGCGTTTACTCACAGGTCTCAATCAGGCAACCTCTGAACAGCGCTGTGAGATGCGTTCGAGTTTGGAGCATAGCTCTCCAAAACAAAACAAAGGTCACAGTGATTTAAACGAACAAATGCGTTTACTTGCAGGTCTCGATCAGGCGACCACTAAACAGCGCTGTGAGAAGCGTTCGAGTTTGGAGCAGAGCTCTCCGATACAAACGACAGATGTCACATTGATTTAAACTAGTTTAAAGGCAGATGAAACCGCGCTGCCATTCTCAACAACACTGACGCGTAAAACAGGAGAAACACTGTGTGACAACCATAGAGTAGACTGTATAAAAACATGGACGTACTGTCTGTGACGTCACCCGTAGGTTTCTGACGAGCGTTTTTGAAGCTCAAAGTGGGCGGAGCCGGCCGTCGCCATCTTGGCAGCGCGTCACTCCCGGATAATCGAAAATGGGCAAAGAGGCGGGAGCTGGTTATACATTATTATTAAACACTCGTTAAGCAATTGATTTCCACTTTTCTGATGTGATATGTGATGAGAAAAGGAAGAAAAGCGAGTTTGGCAAAAGACGAACTCGAACCCAGTCGATCGTATCGGTCATTACTCCTCAGTGCATTACTCTCCAACCCCCCCACTGCAGACACTGAATGATGATGTCCAACGAGATGAAATGAACATGACACGAGTGTATTTATTCTCAACTTTTTTCTTGAAATTTAACGTCTTTTTTCTCGCAATTTAATGACTTTATTCTCAAAATTTAATGAGTTTAATCTCAGCATTTTATCTAGACTTTTTTATTGAAATTTAACGACTTTAATCTCGAGATGGTAATATTTAAATAGGACAAAAACTATTAAAAATGACGAAAGCATGTTAAACTAAAAACAAACTGATATTAAATGAAAACTGAAAATATAAAAATAAAAACTAGTTTTCTATAGTATAAAGTGTATAAAACAGCAGCACAAACACATTTCCACCACACATGTATGTTTTACTGAAGTAAATGTGGTTTATGCTGATATATCAGTATAACTCGAAGACTCGTGTAAATCATGTGATAATTGATTCACTCTCTGACCAGCGGCACAAAAGAACGAATGCAAATGCCCTGCATGGTGTTTGACTGCATCTGATCAGTGTTCCTGAGCCACACCCGAGTGTTCAGCCGCCTGCTGACATCACGTCAACACCGTGCAGTGCTGTGTGTGTGTGTGTGTGTGTGTGTGTGTGTG